CCTGCTATCCCAAGGTAGATCTCTTTACTGCTCCTTGCGTGCTGGTGTTTTAAATCAGTGCAACCATCCAGCAGTGCAGACTTGCCCTAGCAGCACCATCCTTCCCAGCTGAGAGCACTTCAGAGCCACTGGGTGCTCCTCTGCCTTGCAGTGATGCACTGTGTGTAGTCATAGAGAACACGTTACCATTTCCAGCTGCTGCCCAGAAACTTGTTCCCTTCAGAGCACAGCTGGAAGCGTCTCTGTAATCCCCAGCGCTCATAAAGAGCTGATGCAGTGTTGCTGTTACAGCCGCATTCGTATAAATTCAATCATTGTAGATTAGAACAAAGAGCACTTAAAGTCAAGTCCAATTTTACATGGAATGAGACGTGAGTTCATGATCCAGTATCAAGATTTATTAGGACGATTCATGGTCATGCTCCATTTGAACACAAAGCACTGCGGTTTCAGTAACTGAACATTATTATCCAGATGTAATCCAGTTGAGACCGCTACGCACAAACATGTTTGCCACTCTGTTTCTCTCCCTCTTCTTTACCTGCAGTGGATAAACCAACACAAGGCTCTGTGGCTCAGGCAAACTTACTGGAAAAGGCAGAGCAAAATTACTTTCCAACCCCTAGGAGCAGTCTCAGCACCAGGTACTGCGTAGCCCAAGGTACCTACTGCTCGATGTGTTCAAGTCAGTAATACCTCAAGGCAGCTTCCAAATTAAAATTTAGCATTTCCAGTTACCCTCCCCCCATCCCTTCATTGTACTCCTTTCTAAAAATCACCTGAAGGCAGATCTCTCAGCACAACATTCAACTGAGAAGCACAGCACTACGGCTGCCACCAACTGTTCCCTCACTGCTGAAAAGCAGCAGCAGTGAAGATTATTATTATTTACCAAAAAAATGATCAGATCTAAGTGATGCTGTAGCTTCAGAAACTGTAGCTAAAACTATGTATTGTCAGCAATGACAGACATGGCAAACGTGGACTTAACAGCCAGAATCGAGTCTCAGGCAAGTATTCCACTATAGGCAAAGCTGCAACAAGGCTGTCTAATATATGTTAAAATCTCACTGAAAGAAGGTAGAAGGGTAAAGGCTAATTAATGTTAAAAGGTCATTAAAATAAAGCCCAACTGGCACATGAAAGAAAAGTTCTAAAAATTTAAAATCAGTTTTACTCCAAGTCTTACAGAACAAAAAGGACAAGTCTCAGACACATCACTGTGGTAACACATACATTCCAACTCGCCACTAGAAGCTGCGCAGCTCAACACCTCTGTCGCCTTCAAAAGGCTGCAGGAGACATTTGCTATTGGGTTTGTACACTGCTATCTCAGTGCATTACAACGCGAAGTAGAGGGAAGAAACGGGGGTGGATTCAACTGAAAAGGGCTGGTTTTTGGTTGTGCTGAGCCACGTGCTCGCTTTGCAGAGCAGCGCAGCCAGGCTCACTGCAGGCACTGCGCTGCTCCTGGGGTCACAGCAGGGCGGCAGGCAGAGGAGAAGAGAGGCAGCAGTGGCCCAGGTTGTGCAAACAATCCAAGGGTACCTTTTCAGAATTGAAAGGCAGCGCTTTTGAAATTTAATGAAGGTTTCATCAGAAAAGCAAACAATGCTATCGTACCATTTTGTCCAGTACACGCACATAAAAAATAAGCACACTATACAAAGATGGAAGCAATATAATTTAAACATGCCATCAAGCTATAAACCATATATACATAGAAACGTATGCCTGTACAAACAGAACGAGACCACTTTGTTACAAGTTATTTCTTTCTAGGGAAGTTCTTGGAGGAAATCATGACGGAAAGAAAAGGTGACTGAATGGGTGAGGTGTTGCTTCCAGAAGCAGGCTGTTCAGACTTCTATGCAACACCACCATCTGGCCTCAGCATTTATGGAGATTTTGGCTATGCCTGGGTCTTCCCATGCTTCTGGACTCCCTTCCTGTACAGAGGTAGATTTCTGTAGATGTCCTGATATTGCACCACATAAGAATAAGGTTTTTATTGAAACAAGGAACAACTTACAAAGGCTGATTTACAGGAATAATCTCATTGTGTGCCTTCAGATAGAGCAGTAATCCAATTCACGTGCATTGGAAAAAACATCCCTCCAAGTGAAATGTTCTATTTAGTTGGAGATCCCACTAAGACATCAGTTCTGTTAACAGCTTCACATTCAGCTCTCTCGGCATCAGGGGAACTCAGGACTCTGTGCTTGAGCCTCTGTTCTGCCACTGCAAACACCTGCACTGCCTTTACTGATGCCTTTATCACATCCACTGCGTTCAAGTCAAATGCTGATTGCAAACAGACACAGGTTTTTGCAGTACTGGAAGTGATGCACAGAAGCAGCTGCACAGCTAGGACATTTGCAAGATGCATTCAAACACTTCCTGAAAAAATCCAAGCTGTATTTTCAGACTAGAAAACAATCTGAAAGTTTGCTAGCTAAAAATAATAGTAATCCATTAATCAAGAACAAATTTGATGCTATTAGGATAATCTGCAGATGTTTGGCAATTGGTTGATGTTCAAGATTATGGTGGACAGAACAACTCTGATCTCTGTGAAGCTGCAGAAGTGTTTGCACACAGATACCACTTTAAGACGTTTGCTAAATAAAAAGCATTCCAAAAATGGCACACCTAAAAAATAAGGACACCAAAATTAATGACGCCAATGCAGAACAATTTGACCTCACAAGCACTGCTAAGTAGTTTTCCAGAAGCACTTCATGAAGTTACTCTCACAGAAGTCCATCGTGGAGATAAATTAAAAGGAATAATGTGGTTCTGTGTAGTGAAAGATGAGATGGAAGTGGTGTAAATCTGGCTCAGCAGATCTAACAAAGCTGTTGTGCACATGCTCACATGGCAGCACATCTGCACATTTTGCTTCCATAAAGAACTGCAGGTAAGCAGCATCATTCTTTCTAGCTGCAAGTTTATAAGAAAGCTTAAGAGGAAAAGTTCTTTCTGTACCAACCAATTTGCAAGTATTTTTATGTGAAGGATTGCATTACAACCACTTAACATTAATTTCTCGTGTTCAGTCTATATGAAGTATCTTGTTCCCTATAAAAGGTTTTACCAGTAAGGAACAGTGACTAGTTTGGAACTGAAAAGCATTTGCTCAAATACAGACAGAAGGCATGTATAAATTCCTTACATCTCTCCATATACACACTTGTCCAAGTTGTGGAGTTATTTTAACAAGACGACAAGTAAATCCCAAGTTGATAAATAACAATTGGAATAATATAGTAATTCATGATGACTGTTCCCCCAAGAAGAAAACTGCACACTGTGGAGTAGGAGAAGGTGATGTCACCTGCAAAAAACCAATTTGTGAAGTAGTGGGAACCCTCAATCTGGAGTATCTCAGCATTACACTCCCTGCACCTGGCAGAAAGTGCTCGTGTACCTTGCAAGATCACGTTCTTGAATGAAGAAATCCATTATACACAGGAGACAACAAGCAGTAAGAGCTTACAGACAATGGCAGGAACCCAGCAGGAGCCAGGGCTCTTGGAGACTTCTGGTTTTGTTTGCAAAAAGCAGTGGTTCTTCATGGCAAACGATCCACAATTTGGAAAGCATCTCATCTGTACACTTGGCCAGTGCATAGCGTCTGCGATTGCATAGAACGTTTCCAGTGCTCAATCTGTAACTAATTTAAGCAAATATTTGGGAAGTTTGATTCGTTACCATTTGATATCTAAGTTGCTTGCTGTTTGATTTACTGCACTGTATTTGGTGTGCAAAGCTTCCTGGACCTTCCTGGAATCCATGCCTTCCAGCCAGTCCTGGTACATCTTTTGTACGTACGCGTTGGCTTCTGGAAGTCTGACAGGTATTGCAGCATAGACATCCTCCATCTGGCTAAGCAGTGCTTTATCTGGTTTTCCATCTTCAGTTTGTGTCTGGCCTTTTCCATTTAGGCACCCTTAATTAAAAAAAAAAAAAAAGAAAGGAGTAAGCCACAACAGTGATGAGGGTTTGATATGAGATTTGAATTTTTTTTCCATACTGCTCTACAGAAAGTAGCTTGAATTTCTATATACTTCATGTGACTTCAATATCAACATCTTGATGAAGTGAAGTCTCCACATCACAGCTTCCCTGCCCCCTCTGTGGCTTTATGATCTTAATTATGAGCCTTGTCTTTTCTTGCCCTTGACAACCACTGTTTCAGAGTATTCCCTCTGAAGTTTTAAATAATCACAGGAGAAGCCATGTTGTCTTTTATTTATAGATCAGAAGAGAGCAAATAATGTTATGGTTAATTTTAGAAAATCCAATCAATTTCTCAGCCAATCCTGTACATGTCTAATTGGTGTTCTGGACTATTTACTAAGTATTGAGCATTTTAGGTTATTGAGAAGAGAATTAAGGAATGAAACGAAGTGCCTGGCTGTCAGACAAGCTTTCTTTGAGATCTGAGCTGTGTGTGCAATGCCTGTGGATCCGTGAGCATCCTTACCTCCTGGGCAGGCGAGGACTTCTACAAAATGGTATAAAAACTTTCCTTTCTTCAACTTCAGAACCATGTTTTGGATGTTCCGAAAGCCATAAGCTGCTGCAAAACGCAGCACTGTCTCACCATCCTTTTCAAGGGTAACTTCCTGAAAGTCTTTGTTCCTATGAAGATACGAAGGTTTTCAAAGCCCTACGTTACCAAAGGGATGATCCAGCTGTCAGCTCGTATTCAGATGCTTGAGAGAGCAGGATAAGGATAACAAAAAATGCAAACTTCCAGTTTCTACACTGAGTGAAACAGAAGTTGCAGTGGAATTTTCAGGACAACAGTAGGAGATAGAAACTTATAAGAACTAGTAAGCTATTAATACAACAGAATCTAAAAACAACTATTTTACAGCAGCAAATTTATGTATTTATAATACATTAAGCTCCCACCAGTGAGAGAGTAAGGTTACAATAAGGGTTCACTGTGTGTTAGCTAGCCCATCCTGGGTAACAAGGACACAAGCTTGCTTACTTTAATGCTCTGTAGGTGATTTCTTTGACATCCATGCCAAAAAGCTCCTTTGCAGCATGTTTAAAGATGTGCTCCAGGTACCCATCAGATCTCTTCCCATCATGCCTTACCACATCGCCCTCCTTTATCTCTCCAAACCTTAGGAAACAATAAAGAGATCAACTCCAACATTTCATTCCTTCTCTTTGAGGTAGTAGCATGTTTTTTTCCTTCTCTTCTTACCAACCCCAAAAAAGGGTTTTAGAACAGAGACTGAGAACATATCTGAACACTATCAGGGATGTGGTAAAACTAGTTTCAGGAAGGAATGTTCCACTTCACATTAATAGAGTTTTACATTTACATTGAATACGAGCAAAAGTTTTGTTACTTGCCATCAAAATAAGGAAGCAATCCACAACAAAGCTACTTACAAAGTATCTACAGCTACTTCAGTCACATCTTTCATAGACACATTTTTCTGCTCCATTATTTGGACAATTTCACCTGTAGAAAAATGCAGGACGTTTTGCTTTCAGTGCAAAGCAAAATGCAGATGCTGTGCTTCTGTTTAAGAGCTCTACACCCCACGTGCTTACAGTCACATTCTCCAGTTCTTAATAGTCAGTTACCTCCAATAACTGAGGAGCCTGACACTTCCAGCCCTGAAGGAAAGGGCCTTCAGCTTCCCCCAGGCTTTGCAAAATGCTACCTAGCCTTTCTGTAGGGTCAAGTCTGGCTAACAGGAGAATGCTAAAGCAGCCTTGAAAGAAAAACAAATGAACAACAACAAAAATACCAATCACAAAGCCTGTATAAATGC